TTACCATTAAATTAAAGCAGATAATGACACCAATACATTAATTACTATATAAGATAGAAGATATTTTTAAAAATATATCTATAATATAAAAGATGGCCAACTCTCTCCAGTTAAGTGTCACATCAGCACAGAAGAGAGTGACATCTGTCCATTTAAATTTTAAAATTAATAGTTTAATATTAAAATAAAATGTCTATAAATTAATATATTTATGTTTGAATTCCTAATATTTATCAAAGACAAATAAAATATTTTCAACAATATAAACTTAATTAAAAAATATCAAAACAATATATTTAGAAGATAAATCAAATAATTTTATAAATTTAAAATAATAATATAATCATATTTCACTATATTATATTATATATGTGTAAATGTATAATTATTAATTTAAATAATTATTGAAACTGTATTTTTTACATAGAATTCTAAAAAGGTTATTATTTTATCATTTTATCAAAATTTGTTAATTTTTACACTGACCCGACTTGGAACTGGCAAAATTTATTAATATATAGTGATCACTAATTTAATGAATATTAATTTATAGAAGTTATACTTTATGATGTAATAAAATTTAGACTAATTAATTATTTACCCTTTAACTGTATGCTAATTAAATATATAGTATTTGCTTTGGATAAAAGTAAGATCAAAAGTTGTGGTGTGGATATATGACCGAAACATTAGCGACTAGAAAAGTTTAAGTAGTCTATATTATGGACCAACACCATCTGCAAAAAAAGATCGTCTCTACCTATTTGTGCTCGAAGGCTTTCTCTAATAACTTTTGTTATATGCTATTTTAATTTGCAATATATTTATTTAATTTATGTTATATATATAAGGCATAACATAATTCACATTCCCTAGTCAACAAATTATTTATCGCATACATAGTTATTATCTACATAATACTTATATATGTATTATATGTTCATTCAAATACACAATATTCTTAGAGAAAATCTAGACATAATAAATCATCATTAGAATTATAAGTTTCTTATTCAATAAAAAAATATGTAATAATGGACAAGTACTTACTCTTATGATGTATTTTGACATTATATATATATATATATATATCTTTAATTGTAATACATTTAGAAAATATAGTCAAGAGGTGTTGAGCATTAAGTTAAAATAATATAATGAATAGAAATCAAAGTCAAAAGCAGTTATCATTGTTCATATAAAATATTAAGCATACAATAAAATAAATTATAACTAATTTTTTTAACAAATTATATTGTGAAGCAAAAATTTGCGCATAGTACAGATACTCATATAGTGTTAATAAATACTCTAATATTTTGTTTTTCTATTTTAGTTGAATCAATAAAAAGTTTTTATAAGTTAAAAAAATCTTAATTGTGCTTATTTACTTTGACATAAATAATAGTAATTTTGTATGAAATATGCAATTCATTGATAAAAAAACAAAAAGAAATTTAAATTACAAATTTTTAAAAGTAAAAAAGTAAAATAAAAATATGCAAAAAAAAACTATTACCTATGAGACTCGAAAACTATTGTTGGAGATAGGTTTAGGCACGGAGCGCATATCCGGAAATCTTTTGAGTATTTGTGGTTTGTTCTATTTTTACTGGATATTTAATTTTATGATTTGCTTTATTTTCAAAAATATAAATATCCGAATATCCAAAATATTTACAAATATTTGTATATATTTATGGATAATAATTTGGTTTCATTTTATACAAAAAAATCTTAAAAATAAATGCATTTAAAAAAATATAAACTATCAAATAGAAAATAAATAAAATAACTATTTTTATTTAAGAAAAAAGAGTCAAATTTAAATATATATATCTAATTATTTTTATAAGTACACATACAATAGTATTTTGAATACATCTGTTTTAAAACAATTCTATTCAGATATGTTTAATTTTGATTTGTTCATATTCATTCCAGTTAAGCCATACAAAATATACAATTTAGTTTGGTTTGCATCCATTTAAACCGTTCTAATTTGTTTTTAAACGCTTTTGTAAACTAATCTTCATCAGTCCTAGAAAATGGTTTTATACAAAAAATTAATAATTACTGAACAAGTTTCAATACAGTTTTAAAATGGGAAAAATGATTTGTAGATGTGATTCTGGAAGAAAACGATTCAAGCAATAAATACTTATTTGAATTGATAATTAAAATGAAACAAAATAGACTCATCATTTCATACAATCTTTATTAAAACATGATTCTTGCAAAATAGAAATGAAAATTATCACTTTTAATTCTTTTTAGCACTTATCCGAACACAAATTCACACATGCCTTAGTCTTTTCCACATCCAACTTCTTAGCTGTTAATAACATATAACAAAAAAAAAACCACAAAAATATAAACTACTGTTAGTAGAGACATACTAGTAAACATAATCATCATAAAAATAGGAGATTTAACATCAAAATATAGTTTTATATGAAAATCAAAATTTCTGATTTTTATGAAAAACTTACTCGGATCTACAACAGAAGCACATTGAAAACTAATACAATCAACTTCAGAGAGTTTTCCCGTACACCCTCTGAGACATTTGCCAAAACAGAAGAATTTATTTCGAAAAAATGGACTAAGAATACATAAGTCAAAGCACCTTCCAAAACAATCTACAAAACTTGTTTTTAAAGCTTCTGATTCAACTACAAGGTTTCCAATCATCAACATCATCATCACAACTACAGCCATTTTTTTGTTCTCCATTTTGTATTTAGGAAACAGGGTAAAAAAATGGCTTATGGAAATCAATTTGCACTTGTACTTTTATAATCAGCAACGAACCCGTTATATATTGATTTAGAAACAACTTTGAAGAAAACCATTAACAAAAACATTGTAACTGCAATCATTGGCGTATCTAGTGATTTGGTAATTTGCTTTTTTACAGTCAAATTATTGAATCAATGATTTGGTAAAATATTAAAATTCCTCTTATTGCATTTGCCAAAAATATTCAAAATCAAAAGTTACTAGATTAGTTATATATATATATATATATATATATATATATATAAGTCTCCTAAAATATTCTATTACTGGAAAATAAAGATTTCAATATATCTTAAAAATCATTTAGAATTAGTTTACTGGTTATTTATACTTTAAAAAACAAAGGATAACAATACCACCTCATACTTGTTTACAAAATTTTAATATTTAAAGTCAAAATTAAAAGTTAAAGCTTCTTTACTCCAGTGGTTAATTAAAGGTTCATTAATGCTTCTACATCATAAGATTTCAGGTTATATTGTAGGTAAGCAAATAAAGAAATTTTCAGCACGTTGAAAGAAGAACTGTTCGTGATGAATCTGCATTTTTTTTACTGCAAATAATCCATATATTAAACTTAAATCTCTTAATACATAACAAAATATGATTGATATAGATATAAATATTTATGTAGAAAATAGTTATTATTTATTTTTAGATAATTTTTTTTTTGTTATTAAAATTTGCTCCAGTTAACTAAATTTCTTGATCTATCTTTAATTACTAAGCTACTTCTATATAGTTACATAAGTAATGGTTAAATCATTACCACTAGATTTATATTTACGCGCATGAGTTTTTTAATGTGTATTTTATTACAAACATTATAGTACTTTTATATGAATTTTATATTTATAAAGCTTTTTTATATAATATATATTATTTTGTAAATATAATAATAAAAATTTCTTTTTATTAATTTATAACACTATGCAATTTTTAAGGAGACCTATCATCTTATAAGTATCGATCAAGCATAGTTATCTGATATAATTTTACAGACTTATCAATTAAGCTTCATAGACTCGAGAAAATTGATTTATATGTCTCTATAAATATAGATCTGATTATTAGAAGGCAAACTAATTCAAATTTTTTATCTTAATATATAATATAGACTTTTCATATTCTTCAAATGCATTAATAAAAATAATGATTATTTTTAATAGTTTTGATATTAATTTGACACTTATCACTTGAAAATTTATCTAAAATACTAATATCTCAAGTTGCGGGAGAGGAATGACTCTATTCATATATATAATTCAATTCAAACAGATATTGACACACACACAAATAATTAAGATTTAAGATACAATTTTTTAAAAAATAATTGTTAATAAATACTTTACTGTTTTGTTTTTCTATTTTTTTGTGAATCGGCTTTATAAAATAAACTTTAAGTGTAGTTAAAAAAAAAATTCTTAGTTGTGCCTATTACTTTGATATAAATAATACTTCCACATAAAAAATTGTTTTATAAATAGTGTTACTTTATAATTTTAATACAAAAATTTAAACTAAATCTCAGTTTTATCTCTACTATTTTAGCTTATTAATTAAAATAATATATTTAATGTGTATTAATAAAAGGTATAATAGAGACTTTAAATTTTTCTTAATATATGTGAAAAATGTTAGAAGGATATATTTTTAAAAAACATATAAGATAGTACAGTTTTATGAATTTATTTTGATGAAATATGAAATTCGTTGATAAAAAAGATAAAATATTTAATTAAAAGATTCTGTAAAAGAAAATAAAATGTGGTTAGAAAAATATTAAACCGTGGGAGAGGAAGAGATGAAAGTGCAGCGACCTCACTTTACTTTTATGATTGAGATGAGATATTGAGATGTATTGATGTTTTTTTGGGTATGGAAAATTCTTCTCATGCCAAAGAAAAGATTCATATTTAGTGAAACAACTCTTTGGTAACCGATTTACTTGTTAATGTTTTGTATACCATGTTCTAAATTTTAATTTTTGTATATTGTACTTCTTCGGTTTAGTTAACCAAACTATTTAATTAATATATATTCCAACAAAAATCACTCCATAAGACCATCTCCATCGATAGAGACCTATATAGATTTCTTAGACATTTTTTAATATAAATTTTTCTTCTTTTTTCTTTTAAAAACCTTTGTATTTGATTCAATTTTTCTGCTCTTCCATCGGTAGAGATCTGTATAGGTTTCTTAAAAAAAAACTTATATTATTAAATTATTTTATTGTAAACAAAATATAATTAATAAAACTTAAATATATTGCATTTAAAGAAATTTGAAACATACAAATTATTATGCAACTATAAAAATTTAAAGTTATGATTTTTGCTATGAATCTATCATAACATCACTCTCAAGTTTTTAAGGTAACAAAGCAAATCTGCTTGTTTGGACTACGTCTCCCATGAAAGACAGATGCTCAATATACGTTGTAGGAGAGCTGACTGAAACAACGTTGCACCATTTGAAGAAACCACCTGAGATTGAGAGGAGACCATATTATTACACAGACAATCAGAACTAAGCAAGATACTACATTAAATTTTCACTGATATCCGGGTGATTGTTCTTGGCACTAAAAGAATCTACAAACTCGTATTATTTTAAGCTAATATAGTTGTATGTCAAGTTGTCCCTCTGTTTCCATCATTTCAACAAAAAAAAAGCTACTGATTCAGGATTTTGGATTCGTTAGTGTTCCCATAACTATGACTAGTTCCTCTTGGCTGAGTTCTGGACGACAGAACCGCATCACACCACTGAAAAAACCCACAACCTCCGTTTTCCTGGTGACATTGTAGATTTATCAATCCTAATAACAAGTAAGCATAAGTAACAACAAGCCAAGCCATCGTGCAATCTTATTCAGTGAATGAAACTATTCTTACTGGCATTTTATCGAACACCTAGGAAGCAGAATGAGTAACACTAATGCAGTAGAAGTCAAAGCCAATTTCTGGAATCCCACAGTTTTTGTAAAGAAGGATCCAAGCAGTAAGAAGCAAACATTACGTACCTCTCCAATGGGGCATTTGTAGAATCTTCGGCCTGGATTCTTCTGAGTGTTTGATGTGAGGATCAAGGAGAGACCAACTCCATATGGACAATTCTTCTCCGGGAAATCCTGTTCGCCGGTCTTTAATCCATAATTTCCGGCAGGGTTTGAATTCGCAGAGACGTCTTGAAAACCGCTGCGAGATTTGGAGGCGGGATTGAGCGAGCTGAGCTGCCACTGATCACTTTTGCTCCCCTCGAGAGCCGCCGTATAAAGTCCCCTTGAGAGTCGGAGAAGAGAGAATGTGGTCTCTCGATCACTCCGTCGTTCAATTTTCTCTTTATTTTTGTTAAATTTTTTTTTATAAATATCTGCAATAAGAAAGTGACACGTATTAGTTTCTAAACATTTCTGAAGTACTTTGAATAAGGGACGTCTCTAACCAAAATTATACTTAAATAATTTCTTTTAACCACTTTTAACTAAAAACCCCTTCTTACAACTCTTCTACATACGCCGATGGACATGCTCTAAGTTATTTATCTAGTTCTAACAAAAACATACTGTACTAGTATTTTTGTTTCTAGAATCCAATGTTTTTAGTTTCGTGATACATATGCGATTTATTTTAGTTAATTGATACACTTGCTGCGAGTTACGAGATTTCATAGATGAGTAGAAATTAGAACAGGATTTGATATACTTTATAATTTGGTATTCCAATATTGATACCTTACGGTTACGGGAAACAACAAAATCATTTTTTTCAGATCTCTATTCTCATTTCTAACACATACAAAATCTATAAACATAAATACAAACTTCGAGTGGTGTGTACTAGGATTACGTCACACACACTCATGTGAGTCTCCTTCTTGTTGGGTTAGAAGGTTTGCTATTTCCGACAAACTTCAACACTGACACACGTGGGGACCAGTCAAACTCTTTTTACTTCACATTCACATTACATCATCGTAATCTAATCCAGCGGTCATCCTTTCTCAACGTCATTTTCACACACACGTGTACGACTCTTAATCCTCCTCAGCTCCCCAACGATCTCCTTGGCGTCCGGACGATCATCCTTATCCACCGCAACGCACCGAAACGCCAGCTCAGCAACCGCCGCAACTCCACCGTCGTCGTCAGCCGCAAGCAATGGATCAACCACCTGGTCAAGAAGACCCATTTGGAGCTTGGACACAAATAAATCAGCCAAAGCCATATCTCTCTTCTCACGCCGTTGGTCAACGGCTTTCATCCCCGTCATCAACTCCATCAAAACGACGCCGAAACTATACACGTCACTCTTCTCCGTTAACCGGAAAGACCGGTGATAATCCGGATCCAAATAACCGGGCGTACCTTGTGGACCCGTGCAAACGTAATCAGACGAAGAAGCCGAAGCAGCCGTCGTCTCCGAGAACACCAAGAGCCGAGACAAACCAAAGTCTCCGACTTTGATTCTCATATCTTTCTCCACGAAGATATTCGACGAAGTTATGTCCCTGTGAACCACCGGCGGAGCAATAGCAAAGTGTAGATACTCCATAGCTAGAGCCGTCTGTAAAGCGATATCTAGCCTGACTCGCCACGTCATCTTCGATTTCCGGCCGTGGAGATGATCGGCGAGAGTGCCGTTTGTGACGTAATCGTGCACGAGGAGAAGCCCTCTCGGGTCAGAGCAATAGCCATGGAGCTTGACGAGGTTCGGATGGTTGATTGAAGAGAGGATTAAGATCTCGTTGCAGAACGATTTCATCGAGAAGGCTTTGCAGTGCTCGGTGGCTGCGGCGGTGGCGCCGTGGTGGTGGTGAAGGAATTTGACGGCGAGGAGCTGACCGTCGGTGAGTTGGCCTAAGTAAACAGAACCGAATCCTCCGTCGCCGATTTTGCGTTTTTGGTCGAATTTGTTGGTTGCGGATTCGAGCTCCTCGAAGGTGAATACCGGAGGGAGGAGGGCGGCGGAGCGGTGACGGCGGAGGAAGAGAGCAGCGGGATCTTCTTCGTTGACGGAAGACAAAAAGCTCGCTCTCCGTGATCGGAAAATCGCTACTGCGGCGGAGATAGCAAGCAGAAGACATGTCAAGGCGAAGATGAGAGATAACACTGCGACGTGATGGATTCGTCTATCTCTTTGCGTCGCTGATTCGGATCTCGATTTGGTGGGGAAGCAGACGAAGTCTTGATTCGGGTGGGTCGAATTAAACCCGCAAACACCGTTCTCGACCCGACGACAATCTCTACATTTCGCAAAGTACGGGTCTTGAGATTCGTCCCACTCGACTTCAAATCCGAATCTGGTGATGAAATCTTGGAGAAACCCGAGGAGATCTCCTTGGCAGCCTTGCTCCGATAACGACCCGTGGGTTGATTCGCAGCCGTGGAGGATCCGACCCGGATTCTTCAGGAGTTTGCAGTCCCAAGGACAACGACTACAGTTTGGTAGAATCAGAGGAGAGCAAGGACGGAGAAGAGAGAGACGAGAGCAAGAAGAGTCAGAGACTCTGAAAGGAGAACCGGTTAAGTCGATGAACCGGTTATTGGAGGAGGAGAACCGGAGAGAGGAGCAGCTGTTCCGGTTCGAGTCTAATTGTTGTGGCGGAGAGATGGGAGAGAGGAGGAGAGAAGAGGAGAGTGAGTCGTAACGGAGGAGAGAGAAAGTGATGTCCTTGATTGTGATGGTGGCGCGTGGAGAGGAAGAGCATTGGATCTGGAAGCTTGGGTGGCCACATCCCGGAGAAGTGGAGAATGGGAACGGCGGAGAGGAGTTAAACGGAGGGCAATGAAAGGAAGAAGAAGTGGAGCATGAAGAAGAAGTTTTAACAATGGTGAAAACAAAGATGAGTAGTGAAAAGCACCGCCGGGAAGAAGACGGTGGTTGAGACATGTAAAAGGAGAAAGAGGGAGAGATCTGAATCTGGTGACTGGAGTTTTCGAAGTGGACAGTGTTAGTGAGGAAGAGGAAGAAGAAGAAGAGGCACGTGAAGGTTTAGGAACTCGCGGAAACTGAAGAGTTTTCTGGCAAAAAATTTAGTTCCATTTTCTTTTTTTTTAATACAAGTAATAAGTTTATGGAGTAATTCTTTTGTTTATCTTTAATTTTGTTTTTTTCGTTTCTTTCTATGCAATGAAAGTCGAATTCAAAATATTTTGCAAATTTCTTTATTTTTTTCTCAGATGAGCTTTTTAGTCATAAAGAACAAATGGGGGACTACATGAGAGTACAGAAGCCAAAAACAAAACAAAAGTCAAAAGAGACAACAGACATTGTAGACAAATGGAAAATTAGTTCATATTTATAGTGGATGCTTTTTTATTTGTTTTGTTAGTAAAGCTTATTTCAATCTTTGAATTATTGCCGATATTTTTTCTACGGAACTCATACTTCTAACCGCTTTACGTAGAAATGGTAGACAACGACTAACGACAACAACTAAAATACTTCGAGATATTTCTTTTGGGGTAACCCAACAATTTCAAACCTTATTTTATAATCGTGATGTTTCGATAAGTGTCGTTCTGTAAGTTTTTACTCATACTCAATAGCATATACATTGCATGGTTTTGTTTTTTAACACATCTTTTACGTATATTTGGTTCAGTTTTAATTTATTCCATGGAAATGAACAAGTTAAGAGTTTTTAATTAACTTTTATGATTCAAATAATTAATAGAAAAGTATATCTGTCAAACATGTCGAATCTGTTTCGCTAGATACTTTCTGCCAAAATCCACGGATGTTCATCCGTTTGCTTTGATTCAGCGGGTCCTGCTTTTAGTCCGTATACATACATGAATGAATAAAACTGTGGCTGATTTGTTCACATCTTAGTTTTGTCCTTCACACATCAAGATTGCATCAAAAATCTCTAAGGCGCAATGATACAACCGTTGATTTGGACTTTGGAGCCTTTCGGGTTCATGATTCATATAAAAAGGGCAATTAATGCGATGCGATGAGACCAAATAAAGCTGACCTTTTTTAGGGTCTCTCTCTTTAATAATGTTTGTGTGATTATGTTTCTCTCTATTCAATCATGAACCCCTTTGAATCTTTAAAACTGTGCTATCTAAAAGGAAAAAACACAAACTCGTACTAATGGGCCTGTATTTTCGATCCAATCTATTATCGATTTTGTTGGATCCATTTAATTGGGGTACTTGTGATCTTAAAAACCTCAAAAAAAACTAATATGTCATGCAAGAAACACATAGAACAACACTATCGTTGCCCAACCCAAGTGACACAGCACGCCTATGCACTGCCACTAGCCATCCAAGTTAGCTTATGAAATAGTAGTAATTAGATCTTAGATTCGTTCTTGAAGTATCATTTAAAAACACTATATAATTGGAAAATTCATTGTATTTTCTATATTTTTGTCACCCTTCTTATTTGAACCTTTTATATCTTTGTCTTAACTTAAGACAGTGTGTTTAAGTTAGTTGATTCTAATCTATAGGAGACATTACGCGATTATTCATACTAACCAATAATGTAGTTATTATGTAGACATAATAGACCTATAATTTACCTCCCAATGCCTACTACAGAAAGAAAAAAAAACTACAGAGTTATAACTTATAACTTTATAAAATAGTTGAAGTTTTATACATCCTCACGTCATTTTTTCTCGATCATAAAAATAGGATTAATTTGTGAAATAACTGTAAAATAACAAATATAACCATACTAATTTCATATTTATAATTCAATAACTAAAATTCCTAATATTTATCTTTTTAACCCTTCAACTTGAATTTATAAACAAACTATTATACTATACTATATCAGTTTATATAAATATACTATACTATTTATAAAATATAGAGTAAAAGCAAATTACTCAAGATATTTACCTTTTTCCAAAGATTTTTGCCATTATGTAAATTTTAGAATGTAATATGTAAATACAAAATCCCCAAAAATAGAAAGAGGGTTGACTTTTGATGATATAAAAATGACACAAATTACAACTACTATCATATAAAAAGGAATAAAATGTACCTTGCTGTGTAACATATGGACCGGGTCACGAAGACTATTATTAACAAACAGCCTGGAAATTCATCCGATATTACAATTAAGAAACTCGTAGTATCCTAATATATCTACGCGCAAAATTTAATTTCGTGGAATGGTAAGTAATACTTGGAAAACAAATAATAAAATAGAACAGATTGTATAAATGGAGTAATCATACGACCAAAAACCTCGCCGTGTCTTCAACGAGGAAAATAAACATGGAGTCATTCACCAAAAGTTCCGCCGTTAGATTACGGAGCTGTCACGAAAAATACCTCTTCGCCGTTGACGACGAAAAAGCCGTCCGTCAAAGTTCCGACGGTACGTCACGGCAATCAGTATGGACGGTGGAGATGGTGCCACGTAAGCCCAATTTCATCCGCCTCAAGAGCTGTTACGGCAAGTTTTTAACGGCGAGCGAGTCGTCGTTTTTAATGGGTATGACCGGAGATAAAGTCATCCAAACGCCGCCGTTTCGTCAGGCGCAGCACGAGAGCGATTGGGAGCCAATCAGAGACGAGTTGCCGGTCAAACTCATGTCGTGGAACGGGAAATATCTGCGCGGGAACGGAGGAGCGCCGCCGTGGAAAAACTCCGTCACGCACGATCGTGAGCCGTCCACGTCAGCGACCAAGAAATGGATCTTGTGGACCGTGGAGGTCGTTGTAAATCCGGAGAAGGTTTCGTTCGCGGATCGGTTCTCGTCGCCGGCTTCGAGTTTCAACTCCTCGATCTCCGACGAGTCAACTCACGAGTCACCGGTTAGACAATTACCGACTTTTGGATCTTCCGAATCAATCGGGTCGGATCCTGGGTCACTGGCATCGGTTTCTTCTTCGAAGCTTATGTTTACTCCGTCAATGTCGGGGGCATTGTCCCCAAAACCAACCGAGGTTCGTCAATTCTCATTTCACACATTCATTCATCTAAAATTAATAAAATTTGATTTTAAGGATTAAGAATGTGATTTGAGGGTAATTTGATTATGTAACAGAGGAAAAATTCGAAGAAAAATGCAGAACATGTATCAGCGATGGAAATCTTTCGCTATGCGAAATCAGTGCGTTTAAGAAGCATCGCACACGAGAAATATCTAATTGCAGATGATGATGAGGAGAGTGTGATAATGGGCCGAAATGGGTCATCTAAAGAGGCTCGATGGAGAGTCGAATTGGTACCCGGATCCGAAAAGGTGATCCGGTTAAAGAGCTGTCACGGTGGATATTTGACGGCGTCGAACGAGCGGTTGTTGCTGGGAGCGACGGGGCATAAGGTGGTTCAGTCGAGGAGGATACGAACCGGTGAACCGGCGGGAGAGTGGGAACCGGTTAAAGAAGGGGTAAATGTGAAGCTAAGGAGCAGAAACGGCGGGAATTATTTGAGAGCCAATGGGGGAGTGCCACCTTGGAGGAATACGGTTACGCATGATTCACCGAACCGGACTGCTACGCAGAATTGGGTGGTTTGGGAGGTTGATGTGGTCGAGATTATGGAGAGCTCTCATGGGACCGGTTGAATCAATAACTAAAGTTTTTTTTTTCATCCATTTACATCTGTTTGTTTGCAACATAATTAATTGATTTTCTAGTTTTCTGACCCAAAAGTGATTTTCTCGGAGTGTTTGAATATCCTTCCTTTTAAGATATAGGATTTTGATGCTCATTTATCATGTTTTTTTTTTATTTCTGGGTTTTGAAACACGTTATGTTTCGTTGTTGTTGAACCTCTTTGCCTGAAACATTCTATTCATATACTTTTGTAATATCTTGGTCAAATTTCAGATCCATCCATGCTCAGAATCAATGGCAATGTTTCAGGATTATCTGCTTACGTCGTTGTTATAGGTCTTGTGATTACTACAATTATGAAGTTTTTAGTTAGTTAATGTATGTTATACTTTTAACTAGGTGATTTGAGTTTGTGTATGGATTTAGACAGTCTATCCAAACGATTTTGTTTTTGTTCTTTTTTTCTTCCAAATGTGACATTCTAGTTATTAGGTACTAACAGTTTTATTAATGCTGTTCAAATCAATGATATTTCATATCTTTTTGAAATTAGCTTGTGTAGATCTTTGGTTCATTTTTTAAGTTGTTCGAAATTTTTGGTTCGTTTATTTGAACAAATTAACTGAGGAGCAGAACATGTATACAAATTAACATAAGGATTATCATATATATATTTGCACATGTTTTTTTAGACAACATATTGATTATATTAAAAATTAGAAACCGAAAAGGTTTAGATGGATCCAATCGGAAACATGTTCAATGGTGAGACAATGAAAGTAGAACAGTACAATAAAACAAAGGATAAAAGTATTAAGGGGCGAGACAGATTCAGCAGCATGAAGAAAATCATGAAGAAACTTCATTCATATTCCGAAAGTAATTGCTCATAAAAGCATTAAATAGTCGAAAAATAAACCGATCTTAATATACCCAAAGTTTGGATTGATAACAGACTTGAAGTAGCATCAATAATGGTGATCGAAACTGAATTGAAGAGGATTGTTGCCATTATCGGTTATCTCTAAATCCTAGGCACTGTCGAAACTGAACAAACTGAACGGATTGCGCATGTTATTAACAAAACAACATAAGAAGTATCATGTATTACTTGTTTTGTAAAGGCAGGCAAAAAGGTAAATAATCCTGAAGATTTCATTTGTATTTTCTTGGTTATTTCGGTCCGTCGGTCCGATACATGACCAAAATTAGATCAGGTTAAAATTTTAAAAATAAAACCAAACCAGAGCAGACCCAAAAGCAGATTGGGTTGAACGCGGATTGAATAGGCTCAAACGCAGCTTTCCCGGCCCATGAGAACGACCTCAAACGTAACTAAGAGTAACGTTTCACAGACGCGAGAAAAAGGTAGTCTCAAAAGTTTACATTATCTGTAATGTATCGTAAGGGCATGGCTTAAGAGTTAAGCCTTAAAGAGAGTCCCACACTCGTCAATCTCAGCTCTTGCTGTTCCTTACGCGCAATAACTTAATACATTAATTTCTCCCTGATATCCACTCATAATTATTATTATATGATCTTCTTCTTATTTTTATCAAAATGTGCCTATACTGAAATTTAAATAACACGGTGAGTTAAAAACTCTTTTTTTTTCAGATCTTTCACTTATTGTTCCCATATCCGGATAATATATTATTCCAAACAAGTATATTACAAACTTGAGTTTAATTTCCACTACATTTTTGAAATTAGATTCAGTTTCATTCAGGAAAATACAATTAAACGTCGAACATATATACAGGTTGTCATAGGATACCTCAGTCTTTTCACTTGGTTACAAGTAACAACAAGAAAGAAGGGCAAGCACACGTAAAAGGACAACATCCGATTATAATTATAGATAATAAATATGCTGACATGGTAACCAAAGATATTGTAAAACACGTCAATTAAACACACCTTTTCTATGCCTAGTGGCTAAAATCGTTTCATCACATGGCTATTCATTATTCAACTTTTTCAAGATTATCGGTCGTAAAGAGGTCCACGTCAAGCGCGCCGCTTTGGACTTAGTCCACTAATAAATACTATACACCAAACATCACATTATACTTCACATTCGTCTTCTGAAAAAAAAGCTTATCAACTCTTAGGCTTCGACAAAAAGGAAATAGTAATAACATAGTATCTATCCATCAATGGAGTTTTTCCACAAAGCTAAAGCTGTTAGGATGCGTAACGTCCATGAGAAGTATCTGATGGCGGATGAGGACGAGGAGACGGTGACTCAAGACAGGAACGGTTCCGACAAGAGAGCTCGATGGACCGTCGAGCCGGTTCGAGGTTCTTTCGAAGTGATCCGTTTGAGGAGTTGCTACGGTAATTACCTAACCGCTAAGAACGAGCGGTTCTTGCTCGGCGCCACGGGGCGTAAAGTGGTCTTGTCGAAACCGAGTCCGCTCGACTCTTCCGTCGAGTGGGAACCGGTGAGAGAAGGATCTAAAATGATGCTTAAGACTAGATACGGAAACTTCCTCCGAGCCAATGGTGGACTTCCTCCGTGGCGTAACTCAGTCACCCATGACTCTCCTCATAGTTCGGACTCCTTCTTGTGGGATGTTGATCTTGTCGAGATCTTGGTCGAAACGGCGTCTCCGGCTCCAGCTCCGGCGACACCTCCTCCGCCACATAGGAGGCCGTCGAGTCCTTTGATGTCTAGAACCTCTTCAGAAAAATCCGAGGACGAGGTTGGTATTTTAATCATTTTTTATTTAATAAAAAAACAAAGGAGATTACAAATTTAGATATTTAAGGACGCTGGATTTTTTTCAGATATTTTTTTGGTGTCCAATTATTTCTCTACTACTTTTCAAGACTATCGTCTTACCATTTCTTTGGTTTTGTATTTTGACTAGTTGACTGAGTCGCCGCCGAAACCGGAAGGGAGGGTCATTTATTACCACATCGCGGACGAAGAAGGACACGTGGAAGATGAATCAGCCGTTGGATACGCTTTGACGTTCAAAGGAAACAGCGTGGAACAATTGACGCGGGCGCTGAAGGAAGAGACTAGCATGGATGATGTGGTTGTGTGTACACGCAATCCTTTAAACGGCAAGCTGTTTCCTCTTCGTTTGAGGCTTCCGCCGAACAGTGGAACAATGCATGTCGTTCTGGTACCCTCAAGTACTTCTTAAACGGCAAGCTGTGTACTGAAAGACGCATGGTTAGTGGTCCTTGGTTTAATTAGATAAGAGTATTAATTATAGAATCTATGGATAGATTGTGTTATTTGTTAGTGTGGGTGCTATAATCTTTCATTTTTTTATTGTACATAAATTTATTTTGTAAGCGAATTATTAAGTTAACCCGTTTTTATATGTGAAAATCGCCAAATGATTGTTATTAAAAGATTTATTTATTTATCTTTGCAAGTATCCAACGGTCCATGCATTATGCAAGTGTAGTGTTCACCAACTCTTCTAATAAATTTTTTCCATTCTCCTTTTTTGCCTTTTGATATTACTAAAGATTTCTTCGACTAAACTATTCTTGCTGGAGAAGATGTTTACCCAGTCATCATCAAAACAAAAGAGAACAATCATTATTGTATAGATTATAGATAGATGAGTAATATTTGTCATAAACACATACAATAGTGCAATTAAGGTTATTGTTGGCTAATGGTTTGGTCGAACCCGATAATTTACAATAATCAGCGTTGTAGAATAATACTACGTTTGGTTATCCAATTTTCATATTTGTGTATATGAATGTAGGGATGATATTGTTTAAATGCGAAAATTATTGAGAAAATTAAATAGTGTTATGTACAAGCTATTAGAATCGAAGTAATGTTTACATTGGTCTAAGGGATATAGATTAGCAATTACAGCAAAAGAAATGATTTCATCAATCATTAATCTCTTAATAGGTTTTATCCATACTTCTTCATTTTGTTTTATAGTGCATACAATTATCAAATCACTAATCATACATCTATTACACAGACAGATACCAAATCCAACTTCCAATTCCTTTACATCACAAACTATGTTTTCTTATTTTATTTTGTTGAATTTGAATTCAAACATTATATATATATATATATATATTAGTAAATTATTCTTGGGATAAGGTGATTTTTATTTTTGCTTGGCATGCAAGTAAAAGCTTCATATTTTTAGAAGAAGGATTGTGCGTATTTGTGGAGCTTCCTCTCTAACTCATCAAACTTCACACCCACAACTCTATCTACTTCTTGGCCTCTCTTCATGAATACAATCGCAGGTAAAGTATGAAGTTTGTACTCCATCCACACACTCTGTATTTAAACTAAACGTTAGTCTATCACTTGGGTTTAAAGAAAGAAGACGAGGAAAAACAAACGGATTGATTAACTATTACCATTAACACATCGACATCAATCTTCACGAACTCAACATCGATGTATTTAGCCGCTAACTCTTCAAACTTCGGATCAAGGGATTTACATGGTCCGCACCATTTGGCTGTGAACTCTATCACTAGCTACATATACAAGAATCAAAATGTACATTATGGAATTCTCAAATAAACCAAACCCCTTAAATAAAGCGCATTAATTAACATAGTACCAGCTTGTTGGTGTCTTTGAGAGCGTTGAGCCGAGAGTTCCATTGATTCTTGTTTTTGATCTCCGTAACAAAGGGACTGTTGACTTTAAAAGGAGAAATTTCGGGCTCAAAGCGAGGTGACCATGGCTTCCTGGAATGGAGATCAGTCACCGGAAATCTCTCGTCTGGTGAAGAAACGTTAGCTCCCATTGTCTCACTCTATCTCTATGCAGAAAGGAACAAATAGTTTTGAGTAGAATTGCTCTCTTACTCTTATCATAAGGTGACAGGAAGAGGTGCCTCTTTATAATATCAATAAATATTCTTGGTGTGCGCCTACTGGCCGTAAAAAGTCATATCACACTACAATTTGTATTGGCTTTAAGTGTTTTTATGTCGTCGCTCAAAACTATTCCATGCAAAAAGTTTTTCGCATACGCACTTTAATTAATTATTAAGTCGCATTTAGAGCATCGCTAATAAAGAGCTTTTTAAAATAAGGTTTTTAAACATAAAAAAATGTATTATTTTAATATAATTTAATATCTACAAATAAAATTTAATATATAAAATAAATTGAATTAATGAGAGCATGATAAGTGGCTACTGAGCCTCTTAAAATATAAGAATGGGTTCTCCTTGAAGAACCTTTTCATTTTTTTTTCTCTTATTTTTTGATTTTTTTTTGATTTTTTAAATTAAAAATCTTAATAAGGCTCTCCATTAAAATACTCCAAATTTGAATTTTTTTTTTTTATTAATTGAAACTCTAAAGAAGCTTACCAAGCTTTGTTTATAGCCGACGAATCCCGAACCAAAAGTCCAAACTAATCTTTGATACATATAAACATGGTCAAAATCGTAAAACGATCTATCCAAAATAAATCTTTTAATTTCTGAATCACTATGAATTAGTTGACACTTACCAGTTTTGCTAATGCATTTATATTGTTGTTTACTCTATAGTGGTCGCATGTATTAAAGATGTTGAATTGTATAACATTTTGAGTTAGATTGTTTGTATTAACTTTTAAGGCAAGGAATTCTATCTGTACTAAAAAACTTAAAGTGTTATGAAAGCACACAATAAAATTCAACTTGATACTAATGCAAGACAAGTTTGAGTTGTGATAAAACGACGTACATATATGATAGATTCTACAGCTGAAGGGGCATAACGTTTTATCTTTCTTTTTTTCCCAGTCTGACTTTTTTTTTTATTTTTTTATTACTAATTCGCAAAGTAGAAAAAAGGGAGGCAGTGGAAGTATTTGACTTTTATTTACGGCCGTGAAATCGTTAAAAGAAGGATTCCAAATCTTCACAATATATGATTCCTTTCTTAGCGTATGATTTTAGTTTACTTTTATATTGGTTTTTGGATCAAAACTCCTTTTGGATTATTATATTTGATGGTAAGAGATTAATAGCATACAAGTATATTTAGTGAGTGACAATTTTAAAACGAAAATCAATGGAGGTGCAATGAATGATGGAATATGGCGAAGAGGCAGACACAGAGACACAATTTTGTAAGAAAAAACTCGTTTAATTCCATCATATTCTTTACTTTGTCACCAGCCCGAATCATTATGATTGATGTAAATCGCTTATTTTTCTTTCAGGAACCACACTACTACTATTTTAGGAACGGTCACCCGAAACAACATAAAATTCATAAATAAAAATAAAAATTATACTTCACAAATAAAAACTAAAATTTTGAACTAAAGATATTAAATAATAAGAATAATTTTTGCGTTTTCAGTTTTTTTTCAATAATCACATTTTTGTGTTTCACAAAAACTGCTATTCTATATTTTCAATGCAGAATTTAAAATAAAAATTCAATTTTAATCTTACTAATTTAATATTTTAATTAGAAATATATTATTTTGTATGTAAATAAAGGATAAATAGAATTTTTAATATTTTTATAATTTGTGCATAATATGTCAAAATGACATTTTTTATAGAAAAGAGGGAATAATAGATATATTGTCACACTAATATTCATAAAAACAACAACGATCATTTTCTTGTTGCTCCTAACCACAGCCTATTAAATCAGTTCAGCTGTTTTTTGGAACTCATCTCAACATCAGAGAAACTCTTCTTGTCCTCCTCGAAATTTCCAGTCTGTAAACCGACCTTGTACCGGTATCCCTGAGCACAATACCAAAAATAAACCATATTAACCACTCCCAAAACCGCAATCAGATAATAGAAGTAATCCAGTTTTCCCGCGTTGAGATCATTGTTGAGCCAATCCGGACGGCCATGGCCACCGGAGAATCTATGAACTATCGTCACTAGGAAACTACTAAGGTAGTTCGCACCGCCGAAGGATAAAGAGAAGAGAGCGTTAGCGATGCTTCTCATGTGTTCCGGAAACTGGCTGTTGAAGAACTCGATCTGTCCGATCATATTCAATGCTTCACACAGTCCCATCAGAATTAGCTGCGGCGAGAGCCAAAACACCGACATTGGAGTCATCCCCGACGGGTCTCCGGCGTTGATGGAGCGCGTGCGTCTCATGCGCTCCACGAGCCCCGCCACGATCATGGAGAGGATGGCGAAAACGATCCCTGTTCCCATTCTTTGGAGGATTGTGATCCCGGATTTGTGGCCGGTGATTCGACGGAGGAACGGGACTAAAACACGGTCGTATAGAGGAAGAAAGACGGCGATGGTGAGGAGAGAGATGACGGAGAGAGAACCAGCCGGGATCTCGAATTTCGGACCCAAGTGTCGGTCCATTTTCAAAGCTTGAGAGACGGTGAAAGTTCCTTGCTGTGACATCGCCACGAGTGATATTATTCCGGCCGACCAAACGGGAATGATTCGGATCAAACATTTCACTTCTTCTACTTCTTGGATGCTGCATAGTCGCCACTTGTTCGCGGGAACTCCCTCCGATGTTAGATCGCCTTCTACTATCACCGCCGCTTTGTTTAGAAACCTAAATTAGTACTCAGTTTCAATTAGATTATATATTAAAATGATCTTATTTGCAAGAAAGCCACAATTTAAATGATTATATATTAAAATGATCTTATTTGCAAGAAAGCCACAATTTTGGTATAAAAAAAAAAATCAACATGCTAGTGCTTATTCTTTAAAAGACACGTCAAATCAAAACGTTAATGAATAAATATATATATAGTACCTGAATTGGTTACTATGTTGTAACTTGTATAACACGCTATCTTTAACGGGCGGGTCATAGTAGGTCACCGTAACGTCATCTTCTGCCGGGAGCTTCATCTTTCGTTTCTTACGAGCTGCGACTACAACTTGACCGATCCTAGAGAATATACTTCCTTCAGGTTTAACGTAGACGTAAAGCTTCATTCCGGCGAAAAACAGAACAATCGCACAAGCCATGAGTCCGGTAGGGACACCAAAGCCGATGATCCAGCTGACTTGATCTTGGATATAAACAACCACGGTCTGTGTAATGAGAAGAACCAAAGTGAAAGTCACGTAATACCAGTTGAAGAAACTGGCTGCTCCTTTAAGACCTTCCTCGGTTCGTTGGTCAAACTGGTCAACCCCGAAAGGGATGCTACATGGTCGTATTCCTCCACTCCCTATGGAGAGGAAACCGAGACCTAATAGCAAAACTCCGAACTGGAGCTTGTTCGGACCGCCGCAACTGACTGGATCTTTGCTGTTGCATGTTGCTGGGTGGAGTTGAGGAAGCGATGCTGTGAGTGTCAGTGTCACTAGACCCTGTAGATTGTATTAAATGATTGATTAAAATTTAAACATTGCTACTAATCAACTCATCATTAGTTTTTTTCATACGGATTCTTCATTAGTTATGATAATCTGTACCTTAAAATTCAACTGATTATAGTTTGTTAGTAATCTTGAGAAGGCAAAGGGATATTTTGAAGTTAAGCGATTAAATACAAGCAAATATAACTTTGTACTCCTATAACGTAGTTACCTTACCATGTCCACGGGCGCGATGACATTATATATGTACCTAAAGTTCGCATGTTATGAGTCACTAATGTTTACCTATTACTACTAGTAATATTCATTCGTAAGTGTGTATATGTAGACAAATAAGATTAGAATTTCAATAAAATTAAGGGGATGAATACTAAAACGTACGAAGAGTGTGGCGAATGAGGCGAAAGCGATGGTCTTGAAACGGCCGATATAGGCGTCACAGATGAACGCTCCGACGAGAGGAGTGAGATTGGTGAAGCCAAACCAGATGTTGATGACATTGGAAGCATCGACTTGTTCTAAGTGGAACACTCTGGTTAGATACACCATGAAATTCGACAACAAACCAATCGATCCTAGTCTCTCCAACGTCTCATTTCCTGTTTCAACGCATTTTATTATATTTTATATACATAATTTCAGCAAATTAATTAACAAAAAGATAATAAAAAATTGAAGAACTTCGTTACAGTTTTCTTTCCGTTTCAATTATAAAGTAGTCAGATGGTCGAGTGCCAAACATGATGGCCCGACGGTTACAAGAATACAATATGATTTATAGTTCTTCGGGAAAACATAAAAAACGAAATTTATATAATCTTTGAATGGTTGACAAGATTATATCCCTTGTTTTTCTTTCAAAATGATCCTTTTTATTTTTCTTTTCTATTATGTGCAAGGATTTACTAACAAAAAAAATTGATATACCTAAAATGAACGTGACTGGTCTCCATCCTCCAGGCTTTTTCTGAATCTTCTCAACATCCAAATTAGAATCTGATGAAGTTTTCCGGTTGTACGGATCAACATCATCCATCTCCCCTGGCGGTGGTGACGATTTAGAGGAACTACCGGACGATCGTAGTAAAGAGAAACCGTCCTTTATATCCTTCAAAACCATCTAAAATACAAGGCAGAGTAAAATATTGTGAGATTCGTTTTTTTGCAATATAGATAAATAAATCAAGGTAAACACATGAAATGATTGATAAATTTAGAGAGGGGGCACATCACTCACACACTTTCTCTGTTGTTGTAATGTTAGAGTGTAGATACACATATCTTATTATATATAGTCTTTTAAAAAAAAAATACTGATTAACACGATTGTGACATCTGTCAAATTTATAGATTAGATTTTGACACATGTAATTAACAAAAAATATTCTAAAATAATAATTTTATGTATGAAATTATACAATTCATAATTAATCTTAAAACATAAAAATCTAAACTAAAAAGTATACTTTAATTCAAAAAAAGGAAAGCAAAAATAAAATAACCAAAATTTCTAATTTAGGAAAATATACAATCAAATTTTATCTTATAAAAAAGGAATAAATCTTTAGTTCAAGAAAATATATAATCAAATATTTTAAATAAAGAAAGGAAAATAAAAATAAATAAAAATACAGTTTAGGAAAATATACAATCAAATACTTATCCTAAAAGCAATGTTTTGAAACTCAATTCGGAAAGAAGACTTGAATATTTATCAAGTCATTAAATTTTTGAGTTTATCTGGATTGGTCTAGTTTGACTGTAGGCCAATTAATTATTAAAAATATATATATTATATATATAGTTTTAAAATATAAAAATAAATTAAATATATATAAATTCATACCATATTTAATAAAACATAGAATGTTCAATAACAATTATAAAAATATTAAAATGAGAAAAAAAATTTTAATTTAGCTAAAATTCAAATTTAAATTATAAAAATAAAATTGGTGGTTGTTGGCAATGTATTATGAATTGTTTACGGGATTTTTCAAATTTTTTCAATTCAATAAGTTTCAGATTTTAAGATTAAAATTGGCCTAAAAAAATTAAGCAAGTCTTAGGTTAAGTGAGCAAACCGGACGATCCGGTTCAGATCTCAAAACATTACCAGAAAATAAAATAAAATTTTGGTTTAGAAAAATGTATAAATAAATATTTTAATTAAAAAATAAAAATTAAAAGAAAAAAATTAAAATTTTAGTTCAGAAAATATATAATCAAATATTACTCTTAAAAAATAAGAATAAATTTTAATTTGAAAATATACGATCAAATATTAATAATTAAAAAAAAAAAATTGATTTAGGATTCGATTTTGCATTTTTATGTTGTTATTACTTTATCAATGATTCAATTTTGTTTTTTTTTTTTAAATTATTATTATAAATTTACTTATACACAGATCATAATCTAAATTTACTTCTACCCAGATCATAATCTGAAGGTTGTACTCCATCCACACATTCTGTATTTTTTGTTTCTTTTTTTGGATTAATGTGAAAAATTTAGACTGAAACCCGTACATCTTGGCCAACACTGTACTCGTGATAATACTAAAATATGGCGTAAATCATCCTTTTTAAAGAGAGTAGACACCTAGGGTGTGCAAAAAAAAAAACTAACTCGTGGCACTAACCACAAGTCCACCAGGCGGTCCAGGCTCACCACACGTTTGATAGACTCTGTATTTCAACAAAACGTTATTCTGTAACTCATTGCAAACACAATATTTTTTGTTAAAACTCTTTTCAAATATTTTCTTTAGGTTTTATGAAAGACGATGAGCAAAACAAACGATTAATTAATTATTACCATTAAGACATCGACATCAATCTTCACGAATTCAACATCGATGTATGTAGCCGCTAACTCTTCAAGCGTCGGATCAAGGGATTTACATATGGTCCGCACCATTTGGCCGTGAACTCTATCACTAACTATATTTAGTACAATCAAATGTACAGTATGGTATTCTCAGATGAAACAAAACCCGCGAAGAAAGCTTGTTGGTGTCTTTGATAGCGTTGAGCCGATTTCCATTCATTCTTCTTTTTGATCTCAATAAAAATGGGACTGTTGACCTAAAAAAGAGAAATCTCGGGCTCAAAAGAAATAAAGTAAGTCTATGTCGTCCGAATATCTCTGGTCTGGAGAAGAAACATTAGCGCCCATTGTCTCACTCTATCCGTACGCAGAAAGGAACAAATAGTTTTGAGTAGAAGGTGAGAGGAAGAGTTGGCTTTTTATAACATCAGACAATGTGGCCCTAAAAAGGTCACCATTTTCACATTACAAAATTTCTATTGGCTGTAAGTCGCCACCTAAAACTATTCCAAGCAAAATGATTTTTAAGAACGCATTTTAATTAAATATTAAGTCGCACTTTAAGATCAATTTTCTGAAATGAATACTTGAAGGCTCTACATTTTCTAAAGATGCTTCATGATTCCAAACTACGTAGTACGTACTCCTTGAAACATGAGAAAATTCGGGAACCTTTGTTAATTTGTTTTTTTCAGGTAACTTTGTTATTTACCGCATGAATTAAACATATTGTCTTTATAGAAGAAATGAATCAACAATATTGAATAAGTATGGTTTTGCATAACGCTTTGAAATTAGATTTTTTGTTGTTAAGGTCAGAATCTTAAATAAAAGTCAACGTGATACTAATACAAGGCAAGTTTGAGTTCTGATAAAAGGACATGCGATAGATTCCACAGCTCAAACGCATAAAGTTTTATATTTTTCTCCCTCAAGTTTGACATACTTTTTTATACTCTTATAATTCGTAAAGTAGAAAACAAGAAGGGAGCAGAAATATTTGACTTTTGTTTGTAAAAAGAAGGATTCCAAATCTTCACAATATATGATTCACTTCTTAGCCCATGATTTTAATTTACATTGTATTGGTGTTTGGATGAAAGCTCCTTTTGGATTTTCTGCTTATGTAGGTGCAAAAAGGCAGACGCAATATAAACAACAACAGTAGATTCTTCGCTTAATTCAAATATGTTTTGGATTTTTTTTCTCTCATTTTTTGCTAAAGGGTGTCATATTTTGGATTTGATAGTCTTAACATTAATTATAATAATCATTAAAAGATGATAATATTAATACTAATACCAATAATAATACCATATATTCTGTAAAATAGCTGGGCTGTGATTTAATATTGGTACTGCACTCAAGATTCAAAATATATGAAATTGTGTCTCAGAACGTGATCTTGCATAGAAACAAAATTATTTAATTGTGTGATACACAATAGCTTTCAACTCTTTGATTTCGGTCGATCTCCTTTGTCCTAATAGCTTTCTTTGGTTGATTGCTAGAAGAAGTCCAATTACGATTATTTATAAGAGTTCTTTTGTAGGATATCAGCTATATAGTATCATGACAAAGTCACAAAACTAAATGGCAAATCATCCAATATTTCCGCATAAATAACATAAGGTAAAATTTTATTATATAATCTAGTTCTTGTATAATACATAATAGATACATTGTTACAATAATGATCATTTAAAGCAACAGTGATCATCTTCTTGTTCCTCCTAACCAGCCTATTAAATCATTTTAGCTGTTTCTTGGAACTCATCTCAACATCAGAGAAACTCTTGTCCTCCTCGAAATCTCCAATCTGTACGCCGACCTTGTACCGGTATCCCCGAGCACAATACCAAAAATAAACCAGATTAAACACTCCCAAAACCGCAATCAGATAATAGAAGTAATCGAGTTTTCCGGCGTTGAGGTTCTTGTTGAGCCAGTCCGGATGATCACGGCCGCCGGTGAACTTATGAACGGTCGTCACTATCAAACTGCTAAGGTAGTTCGAACCGGCGAATGATAAAGAGAACAGAGAGTTAGCAATGCTTCTCATGTGTTCCGGAAACTGACTGTTGAAAAACTCGATCTGTCCGATAATATTGAATGCTTCGCATAGTCCCATCAAAATAAGCTGCGGCGAGAGCCAAAACACCGACATTGGAGTCATCCCCGTCGGATCTCCGGCGTTGATGGAGCGCGTGCGCCTCATGCGCTCCACGATCCCGGCCACGATCATGGAAAGGACAGCGAAAACGATCCCTGTCCCGATCCGTTGGAGGAGTGTGATCCCGGATTTGTGGCCAGTGATTCGGCGGAGGAACGGGACTAAAACGCGGTCGTATAAAGGAAGAAAGACGCCGATGGTGAGGAGAGAGATGACGGAGAGAGAACCAGCCGGGATCTCGAATTTCGGACCCATATGTCTGTCCATTTTCAAAGCTTGAGAGACAGTGAAAGTTCCTTGCTGTGACATCGCCGCGAGTGATATTATTCCGGCGGACCAAACAGGGACTATTCGGATCAAACATTTCACCTCTTCCACTTCTTGAATGCTGCATAGCCGCCAGTTGTTCGCCGGAACTCCCTCGGATGTTAGATCGCCTTCTACTATCACCGCCGCTTTGTCAAGAAACCTACAATTTATATATTCAGTTCCAATTAGATTATAGGTTATATAAAAAATTAACTTTTATGCAAGAAAACCGCAATTTAAAAAATGATGTTTAGTGCTTATTCTCTAAAAGAAATATGATGTAAGAACAACAAGTCAAAACCTAGAGTACCTGAATTGATTACTGTGGTGTAACTTGGATAACACGCTATCTTTAACAGGCGGGTCATAGTAGTTCACCGTGCCGTCATCTTCCGCCGGTAGCTTCATCTTTCGCTTCTTACGAGCTGCCACTACAACTTGAGCGATCCCAGAGAATATACTTCCTTCAGGTTTAACATACACGTAAAGCTTCATTCCGGCGAAAAACATAACAACCGCACAAGCCATGAGTCCGGTGGGGACACTAAAGCCGATGATCCAGCTGACTTGGTCTTGGATATAGACAACCACGGTCTGTGTAATGAGCAGAACTATAGTGAAAGTCATGTAATACCAGTTAAAGAAACTAGCAACTCCTTTAAGACCTTCCTCGGTTCGTTGGTCAAACTGATCAACGCCAAAAGGGATGCTACATGGTCGTATTCCTCCACTGCCTATGGAGAGGAAACCGAGACCTAATAGCAAAACTCCGAACTGGAGCTTGTTCGGACCGCCGCAACTGACTGGATCTTTGCTGTTGCATGTTGCTGGGTGGAGTTGAGGAAGCGATGCTGTGAGTGTCAATGTCACTAGTCCCTGTAGATTTTATTAAATGATTGATTAAACATTATACTACTAATCAACTCATCGTTCATATCTTTTTAAAACTGATCCTTCATTTAGTTATGATAAACTATACCTTGAAATTCAACTGACTGTAGTTGTTACTTGTTAGTTAGTCTTGAAAAGGCACGGAATATTAATTGTGGGATATATTAAAGTTATGCGATTATATATATACAAGCAAACATTTAGTTAAAGTCTTGATTAGGTTTGACTTCATATGATTAAAGGTGATTACTTTGATTAGGCACTTGGAAAAGAAAACACTATTGTGGGATAGATTGAAGTTATACATTATAATGCCACAAAAACAAACAAACAATTAATTAAGCTAACAAATAACTATAGTCTTTATTAGGGTTGACTTCATATGATTGAAAGGATGTTAGTGTCAAACTGATCATGACGTAGAACCTGATATCATTTTGTTGTTGTTGTAAACCTAATATAGTAATATGAGTAGTTAATTGTAACAACTTAGGTTCCTTATTAACGTTTTAAATAATTATGGAAAAGTCAAAAAATATAATGTAAGGAAAGTTAACACGTGAATTTACAAACCATAATTCTATAATAATGAATGAAAGAGACATTAGAAAAGCAACTACAACAACATAAGAAAAAGTTTTTTTTAAAAAAAGCTATAACTACATACCACATACGTTACGTTACGTCACTGTGATTGGCCAAATCTACAACTCTTTCAATTAGCTCTTTCATCTGGAATTTCAATTATTGGACACTATCTCATTATCAATAATCTATATCGACCAGACCACTTGTGCATTTTCTTCTTTTTCTACGCACTTCTTTTTATCTCCAATGACAGAACTCCAGTTCTATTACGGAACTTCTTTAATGAAAATGTATTACTAATTAATAAAAGTTGTTGCTGTGAGTTGAAAAATATGTAGTTCTCTTATATAACTTTTTTTTTGGGTCGTATATAAAGTGACCCCAAGTTAAGTACCGACAAAAACTTATGTACTACCGAATGCTTTCCTTCTTATGATTCACATCATATAGACCGACCTTATCGTCCTTCAAAGCGTGGTCCCTCCATTATATCATGCGTTTTCGTACGATACAAAAAGCAATAGATATGTGCAAGATATATATCATAAAGTTTTGCATCATATTTTTTGTTGAATATATATATGCATATATAGTTTTTTTTTGCTTAACAATATGTATTAGTTTGTCCTAGCGTAGTTACCTTACCATGTCCACGTGCGCGATGACATTATGTGCCAAGTATCATGTATCTTCACCACACAACAACATAAATAGAAACTAATAATATAATTTTCTACCTAAAGTGTTAGTATGTTATGAGTAAATGATGTTACTATTACTACTAGTAATATCCATTCGTAAGTGCGTATATGGAGACACATAAGATTATAAATTAAGGAGATGAACACTAAAACGTACGATGAGGGTGGCGAATGAGGCGAAAGCGATGGTCTTGAAACGGCCGACATAAGCGTCTGAGATGAACGCGCCGACGAGAGGAGTCAGATTAGTGAAACCAGACCAGATGTTGATGACATTGGAAGCATCGACTTGTTCTAAGTGGAACACTCTGGTTAGATACACCATGAAATTTGACAATAAACCAATCGTTCCTAGTCTCTCCAACGTCTCATTTCCTGTTTCAACGCATTTTATTATATTTTATATACAGATTTCAGCAAATTAATTAAGAAATATGATAGAAAAGAGAGAATAAAAAAAATGAAGAAATATGTTGAAGTTTTCTTTCCGTTTCAGTTGGACGAATGTCAAACATGATGGACAGACGGTTACAAGAATATAATAGGATTTAATTCTTCGGGAAAACCATATAAACGAAATATTTATCGGTTGAAAAAGTTATATGCTCTTTTCTTTCCTCTTTTTTTCTTCATTTCTTCATTTAACAATAACAATGATAGATTATCTAACTCCCCTTTCTTTTTCTGTCTATTATGTGCAAGGACTTAGGCAAAACGTGATTTTGAAACGGCGAATTACATCTGTCAAGGATATAATAAGAATACCTATATTCACTGGTTTTAGAATTATATATATCCAGTTATGGAAATTTATTACTGGAAGTTGAGGAAAGTAAAGGATTAGGTTAACTAAAAATAAATTACGTTCACGAACTCCAAAAAAAGAATGATTTACCTAAAATGAACGTGATGGCTCTCCATCCTCCAGGCTTATTCTGAACCTTCTCAGTATCCAAATTAGAATCTGATGAATTTTTCCGGTTGTACGGATCAACAACATCCATCTCCGGTGGCGGCGGTGACGATTTGGAGAAACCACCGGACGATCGTGGCAAAGAAGAAGCGTCCTTTATATCCTTCAAAACCATCTCTAATATTTAACTACACTCAGAATATTCTTCTCACTTCGAATTTAAGGCAGTGTTAATGTTGTGAGATTCGATTCTCCTCTTTTTTGCAATATATATAAATAAATCAAGGTAAAGACATGAAATGATTGATAAATGTAGAGAGTGGGCACATCACTCGCACAGTTTCTCTCTGTTAAGCTTTTTTGTGTAATGTGGAAGTGTATGTACATATGTATATATAAGGGAGCGAGTAGATTTTTTTCTTTTGTGCAAACAGGGAGCGAGTAGATATATGGTGGGTGTGGGTGAATTTGAATGACGTTCGCCACTAGTAGCCTCCACGTGAGAAGTTGGAAGCCGAAAAAGAAAGCTATTTTAGGTGCTATATATATAATTTTTTTTTATATTCTTACATCGCACGTAATAAATACTATTGTTCCACGTATTGTGAACCTCCCATGTTTCATACATTTGTTATACGGTACAATATAAACTTTAAAGTTATGTTTTGAAATATTTGTATGGTACAATTCATTATATGTCAAGGTTTGGTGGGTATGCTTCGTATGTAAGATAATATCTTTCACGCATTTTTATGTATGTTGTCAATCATATATGGTATGAATGATATATGGATGTGATTATGACATCATTTTCTATTCATATAATAAAAAAACATGTCTGTTATATTACGTATTTTCCTGTTAGTCGGTAGAAATTCGCTAAAAAAATTCAAACGTTTAATCGACTGTTTTTTTGGAATAAAACTATATTAGTCGATAAAATTTCAAACGTTTAATCGAGTAATATTTTAAATTTATTCAATTTTCAGTTTTTTTCATTCTATTGATTCTGCATTTTTGATTTAGTTTTAAGTTTTTCTATCTTATTAATTTTGATATTTTACAATTCAATTAACTATTCAGTTATTCTAACCAAAATGAAAGCAAAACGTTACTTAAAGAACCACAATTATATGCACCTAAATCCACACACGAAATCAAATATATTTTTTTGAATAAAATTACTTAAATTAAATAAACTATTTTGAAATTTTCACCGGAAATACAAAATCTACCAATGCAAATTCACAAGAATGCATGGTAGCACTACAACCCATACATTAAGTTTTAGAATCCAAATTTCGTGGTATAAAACACACAGAAAAAAGCAGTTTTTTTTATCATCTAGAATTCGTCCAGAGGTGTGAAAAACGCGGATATATTTTCTTTAAAAGTCCAGTTTTTTCTAATATTCAACCCAAAATAAAATTTCCACTCACATTTTTTCAAGAATAAAAAGACTCCCTCGCAAATCTTTAGCGCTCATAAGAGTTACCGTCTCACTAACCCTAAAAATAAATCCGACTATGTATATATAATTGTGGTTCCAAGAACCGTTGATTAAGAAGGTATTTGATTATTTAGATCGACTTCTTTGGCCACTAATAACGCTTATGGATAAGACTTGCAGCTAGTGGAATAGGATTCATGATCTCTTCTGAAATATCAACCATCTACGTTTTATCAGACTTAAGTATCATGGTGTCTAGAATATCTTCGAAAGGGTTATTTAAGGTGTTGGAAAACAATCAAACAGAAGTACAGAACATGCATAAGTTTTCTCTGTCTCATATCATCCACAGCTAAGGCATCAATTATCACAATTTTTGTACCCAAATTTTGTAATCATGTTTTATGCGGATTATAATTTTGTTTACGTACGTACTTTTTCAGCATGCGAAACCAATCATCGATCTTATTAGTTATAAAATTTAATTATGAACTGCATGCAAGACCTCCTTCACAGTCTCACAGCCATAATGCTTAATAATTATTTTTCTGTTAAGTAATATCCAATATTGTGTTTTTGGTTAACCAAATTTTAATTATTTAATTTAATAGTTTCTAATAGAGAAAATAAATCTATTTACTTAGATAATTTAAATTATTTTTAAGACAACGTGGTATCCATTGTTCATTTATGTAATTTTTGAACTGGAAAATTTCATCAGTAAATTCTAAATTTTGAAGCTCGGATGGTTTAACAACATCAATAGACCAACGAATACTTCTACTAAAGGTTTAAATATCTAAACTTTATGGTATGCAATTTTTTATACTAATTAGGTTTGAAATAAATGATGCTAGGGGTTTCTACATATTTTTTTTAAATAGTTTATAAAATAAATAAAATCGTGTATTACCTAAACACAATTCAACAAATGATAAAAAATAGACATAATATAAATTAAAATAATAACTGAAAAGCAAGCTAATTTTACAAGTTGAAACTGTAACATTTCAACCGTCCCAATCGATAAGCACATTCACGTCTTTTTTGATCCATGAGCCTCTTAATTATCCCAATTTGATAGCCGGTGTATTAGTCGGAAAGTTTGAAAACCATAATATATTGACCATACAATTACTATATATTTTCCTGTGTTTTGTCATCATTTATATGATTTCAAAAATTATTTTCCAAAAAGTCATCTATCCTAGTTATGTTTTAGCTCAAGCACACATAACTTTGGAATTTTCTCGGAACTAATGACCGAAAAATAAGTACATTTTAATGACATAGATAGCTAATTCAATTTATTTAAACTTATTCAAATAGATCGAACTATCTTTACAGAAATATCATATAATTTAAAGCAAATATTTTTAATTATAAAACAGAGGAAGCATGTAGAGAAAAAAGCATGATACTACTTTATAAAAACTATAAACCCTTAATTCCACACATATTTATTATTTTGACTGTTATGTAAATTTTGTATATATGCAAAAAAACACCAATATTCACTTACATTAATTTGCATAATTAAAAGCAAAATGATTATAAAATATATACACATTATTTATTTACTTTTTGTTAAAGTATTTCATTACATATACATATCCACATTATTATTGTTAAGATCTCTGGAATTTAATATTGGAGGTAGCCAAAGATTAGACTAAACTTGTAAAACTCAAATTGGACACAAACATAATATCGGTGAGTCGAGACAGAAACAGATAGAGAAATACGAAAAGATGAGGTAGGCTTTTTTCGCCTTTTAGGCAAATGCAAGTGCCTAACACTGTCGCTGTGTCGCATGCGCGAGCCATTAGATCTCTACGCAAACCCGTTTTGTCGTTTCTTTCTTTATTAAATTTTTGTTTTAGACATTTTGAGGGGGTCCATACCAATTTCACCGTTCGATTTTGAAGGTTCGAACATCTGGTCAAAACGCGTCTTTCACTTCTCTGCATGGTCAAAATAATGAATTGAACCGTGGCCGCATAAGGTTTGGACCGCTTTTAATATTTTGTCTCACAATAGGCCGAATGATCCAAAGATTGAGCTGTGTGGTGCGGGTCACAATCGAATAACGAAAAATGTATATGGAGGTCGATAGATAACTCCAACTCTTAGAAAGCACATTTTTTTCTGTTTTGTATTTGAAATGATCATATCTACCGACTTTATTTGGTTGGAGTGAGAGATATATGATCTGATATTTTCTTGTAAAGCGTACCATAATTAATAGATAACGCATGTTAAAAATATGGGAATACATTTTTGACACTGTTGAAGGAAACATAAAAAATCACTTATATTATATAAGTATTTGCGGTATGTTGTAGGAAACTATTTGCAATTACAAATATATAGTTTATCATGTTTTTTGTAGTGAGACTGTTTTAGTTAACGGTTTTTATGTTCTGGTTATTAGATACATAATGATACTGTAGTTTTTTTTTTTTTTTTATAACAGAAAGTGTTTGTTCTTATTGATAAGCTGTCCAAATTTTGATCTTACAAGAGCTTCCAAGGAGCCAATAATCGGAGTGATCTTGATTTTGATTTGGGCTAACATGCGATTAGAGTTAATTAGTGCTCTGGGCTAAATATCCTTTGGAGTAATTCAATGGTAAACGGTGGATAACAAGTTCATCAAATAGATATTTGTTCAAGTTGGAAGTAAGATCTCAGGATTTGATTGATTGTGATACATTTAGAGTCCTAAGCAAATCTACATATAGAATTTGATGTTTATATCACAAATCTATATTTAAAAGAATTGTTTTTCTGCGTCGGATCGATGTAACATGTAAGTCTTCAAGTTTGTGATGAATTTATTTAGGCCTGAGACTTGTAACCAAATTAAAAAAAAATTGTTAACTTTGAAAAAAAAAAAATGAAAAATTGAGAGTTGAAGATTCTTTGAAAGGGAGAATATTCTATAATTCTCAGAAGGCAGAGCTTCTTAAGAGCAATCAACAAGACACTTCATTGTTGACTTGTATTCTGTTTCAAGTGTGTACGAGGCCATGATCAGGTCCGGTGGGCCATCGTATTTGCATTCCCATTTGAACTCTGATTGTTAGTATTAGTTATTTTTCTAAATTGCATTAAATACACTGATCCCATCGTATTAATTACAATATGGCATTTTCCTTCTGTTTTGTTACTCTTTATATTAAACGCCTTGTAAAAAATTTAACGGTCACTGTTTTTGATTTTGTTCTTTTTCGTGGGTCTTTTCATGCTGAAATTTATATCAAAAGATCTAGCAAGAGACATGTGACTTCTGAGAAAACCTTTTCCCTTTCTCTTCTAACTAACCAATGTTTGTAAAATTACATCATAAAGTTAGTGGTTATACTTTCCAAATTTCACTTTCAATTTTTTTGCTAATATTATGATTCATGTAGTATTTTATATATATCGTGTTAGTAATTGATAGAGTTAAAAACATGTGAACAGTCGTGAAGATAACAACACATAGGGTTGATCAAACTGCCCACCAAGTTTTGAATATTCCACTATCTTTTGTTTCTGTCGAAACTCCAATTATTGATGAAGTAATGATTTTCGTTTTTAGTTAATACGAATCACGAATGGACAGCTAATTAACATCATCCAAAGTCAAATTTTACAAGAAGAGAATTATGAAAAAAATTGGACTAGCTATTACTAGACGTATTCTTGAATTGAGGTTGTTATATAAATGCATAATAGTAATGAACAAAACAAAAGATTGCAAAATTTATGATTTTCTTCTTACAACATGTTAAATTCGAACGTTAAAATTTGAAATTTTGGAAAGGAATTTTTCAAAAACATTACTATTTTCTATTTTTTTCCAAAATAACACCAAGGGGGGGGGAGGTGTATCGAAACTAAAATTTTAGAGAATTTGAAAAGATTTGGGTTTTAATGAAATTTTAGATGATTTGATGTGGATTATGGAAGTTGATATGATTTGATATTAAAATTATATGAAATCTTACCTAAAACAATATGATTTGGCTTTCTATATTTTTAACTAACAAACTCCACCAAATCATTTTAAAATATTCAATATTTTGTAAAATTCATTATTTAAAATATTTCTAATAACAGTGGATTTGATTTAGTTTTTACAAATTCTT